AATAATAATAATAATAATAATAAAATAAATAAAATTAAAAACACTATCTGAGTCCAAGGCTATTGCAATAGATGAACTGGCCTCAAGCTCTCTGCAGCAAAACTGTTGTAAGAATAACAGGCGAGGGAGGAAGGGAGATGAGTAGACGGATGGATGAGTGTGTCGGTGGGTGGATGGGTGAATGGGTAGATGTGTGGCAGGATGTGCGGATGGATGAATAAGAGAGTGCATGTGGTTACCCTGTGGGAAAGCTAATCCAATGTGCTATGTAAGCTGAACCACGGCAGGTGGCCAAAGTCGGATTCCTTGGGTCGCCCACTTTGCCAGTCACCAAGGGGTTACTTTGGGGCAGATGGTCATTGTCATTGCCGCCGGTTTAGAGCAGCGATAGCCCAGCCCCCATTCCAACACACTCGCACCCCTCCCGCCGGACCCCCAGCCGAGCACAGGGGCGCCCCTGCCTGCGCACTCAGGGGCGCGCTCCCCGGGCTGGGCGCGGAGCTGGCGCTCGTGCGCACAGGTGAGCTGCCCGCCCCGCCCCGTCCCCGGGCCACCTGCCTGGGAAACTTGTGGTTGGTTGTTGCCCTCGGGTGGAACACGGAATCGGGCCCTGGAAGGTATGTCGGGGACTCGCGAGCCCCGGGCCCGGCCGAGAGAGCGGGACCAGGACCGGCGCCCCCACCCAGACCGAGATCGCCACCCCGAGCGACAGCGGGACAGACGCCGGGACCCGCGCAGGGAGAGAAACAGGGACGAGAGGAGGGACAGGAACTCTCGAGAGGACCGAGACAGGGAGAGGGACCGAGACAGGGAGAGGGACCGAGGCCCCCGCGAGGACAGACGCAGGGACCGAGGCCACCGCACAGGTGAACAACGAGCTTGGGAAGAGTCCCTCCAAAGCCGGACGCGGGACGCTCCCGGGGGCCGGACCTGGGACACAGCCCCACCCCCCTGGCCCGCGCCTGGGGCCACCCCGGAGCTGCCGCCCCTGCGGAAGGAGGGTCTAGGGCGCAGCCACCCCGAAAGGTGAGGTGGGGCTGAGGGCCCGGTGGAAGGCCAGCCTGCGCCACTGGTGCTGGGACGCCGGTTTGAAGAAAGAAATGCCATTTCCCCCTTGTGTGCTCTTAGAGGCGACCTGTCGGGAAAGGAAAACTTTGTGGTGGCCCTGGAACCCGATTAACAAAGCAAGGACTAACCATCCCTGTTCCCTGTTAGTGGCGGAGGCGGGGGTGGGGGTGGCAGGTAAAGAGGAAGAGAGGTCTCTGGGACGGGAAAGGGAGGGCGTGGGAAGGAGGTTAGGTAGGTGGGGGACCCGAGGCTCCTCCCTGACCCTCCCCCGCCTGGTCACAGGACTGCCCCTTGAGGCTTTAGAGCCCTGTCCTGTGTTCCAAAATCAGCCTTCCATTGGTGGCCGGGTCCTATAGAGTCGGCCCAATGAGAAGTTAATATGTTGCCCCCATCCCCACCCCCACCCCGGGGTATGTACATTTCCCAGACAGACAAGGGAGAGAAACTACACTTTTAACCAAAGAACTAAGTCTACCTAAAATTCCCAGTGAAGGGCACAGATTTGTTTCTCCTTTGTCTGATAGGTCTTTCTGCTTTTGAGACCTCACCCTTCTGGATGAACTTTGTCATCCCTGCTTGGGGGAGCACAAAGAATTCCCATAAGCCCTTGTGAGGCGAGAACATCAGGATACTCTGGAGGACTTTGTGAGCTGGGGGTGAAAGCGAAGATAAGAGAGAGGGGACTCGTCCCACAGGCCCCCAGGGAGCTGGTCTTTTTCTTTCTCCACTGAATGCACAGATTTTGTGCTCAGTGCTGGGAACTGTGACTAGATGGGGTGTTGCCCCTGCCGGTTCCCACAAGGAGACAGACAGGTCCTGAGTCCAGACTGCTCCTGGCTTATGAAACCTGGCTTCTTTTTGAGGAGGAATCAGGCTCTCCCCTGCTATAGGACTTGGTGGCTCAGCCCAGTCTCTTTCCCTGTTGTGTCCACACAATGGCAAAGCTACTATCCTGAGTTTATGTTACATTATCTAAAACCAACTAGCAGGACAAAGGGTGTGTCCCAATAATCACAGGCACTAGCTCTTGTTCCCCACCTCAAGCCACACTGCCTTGCAGCTGCATCAGCTGGGAGTATCTATAACAACCTTTTCAGTTTTCCTTATAAACCAGCGTCCCAGTTCCCCCCACCCCAAAATAAGTGAAGGGAATACTTGTGCTTTTTGCTTCCTTGGGTTACTGCCCATTAGTTTTTTGAAATCAATAGGTAATTTGTTTCTGTCTTTCCTTCACTTAACAAGCTTATATTTAATGGTCAGGATGCTGGGCCGTGGGCTCCAGAGATCAACCCTGAGGGTGTTCAGACTCTGCCACAGGACACTGACAGGTAGATGGGCCATTTGAGCGCTGCTGTGTGGCACCATCACTGCAGGACAAACTCAGACTTGCAGAGAACAGAGCTGGGTTCCTGACAGGGCTGGGAAATTTTTCTGGGGGAAGATAACCTCAAAGCTAAGTTCTGGAGAAGGAGCAAAGGGGGACACTGGGTTGGAGGAGGGGAACATGTTCCAAGCAGAGGATTAACTTCTGCAGTGACCATGAGGCATGGGAGAGCATGTTATCTTTTGTGGGGGAAGGGGACAGTTCACCGTGGCTGTATCTAGAGAGATGAGAAAGGGCCTCCTATGTATGCTAAAAATCGTAAAGAATTGCAATCCTGGCTCGGCTCCTATAGCTCAACCGGCTAAGGCGCTAGCCACGTACACCTAAGGTGGCGGGTTCGAATCCCCAGCCCGGACCCGCCAAACAACAATGACGGCTGCAACCAAAAAATAGCCAGGCGCTGTGGCGGTCGCCTGTGGTCCCAGCTACTTGGGACGCGGAGGCAGGAGACTCGCTTGAGCCCAGGAGTTGGAGGCTGCTGTGAGCTGTAATGCCAGGGCACTCTACCCAGGGGGACAGCTTGAGGCTCTGTCTCAAAAAAAAAAAAAAAAAAAAAAGAATTTCAATCCTAAGAAATGTGATATTCTTGAAAGATCTCTGGAGACCAGTTGGTAGAATGCAGGTCCCCTGTTGTATCTTGGACAAAGCCTGGGATGTGCTACATACAAGTTGGAAAAAATGAACAGGAAAAATGCCAGGGTTGGCAGAGGAAGAAATGATATGACAATGTCAATAGTTGCCTGTAGCATCCACACACCTGGGGAATTATTGCTGACTCAGCGCTTCCCAGATTGCCCATGGAAGACTGAGAACAGCAGCCTCTGGGCATCAGAGTCATGGAGGTGCTGGCTAGCTGTGAAAGGCCTGGTCCATGCTGCACTGAGAGGGTAGGTCCCCACTACCTGGCTAGACAAGCCAGCATCAGAGGTGGTGTCATGTGGGTAGCTAGCGGAGTTATGCCAAGTGTTTGGATGTCCTGTGGGGTCACTAAACCAGAGAATTCTCTGAGTATGACACTCTGGCGAATTTTGTTTCTGTTCTGCATGTCCTTTAATGTTTGGGCCTTGCCTGAGGAGTCAAGAGTTCTGATACTGAACAAGCTATCAAATTACAGGCCCCCTAACCACTGTGTATCCTTTCTGATTATAGTGAATTCCCTTCAGGGAGATATCTGTCCCCATACCCCGAGGACGTGGAATATTACCAGTCAGAGGCAGAAGGACTCCTGGAATGCCATAAATGCAGATACCTGTGCACTGGGAGAGGTGAGTCATATCAGAGGCAGTTTGACATTCTGAGCTGGTGAAGCAAAAATTCAAGAAGACTTTCCCTTTGGGTTCCTTGCATTTCTGGTTTCATATCTACATGAGGTTCTTATTTTCTAAAACAAGAAAGGCAGGAACGTCTGACTTGTGCTTCCCCTCAACATACCCCAGGGCCTGGAGGGGCAGGCAGCCATGTTTGCCGATCTCAGGCTCCAGGGAACACGCCAAGTGGGCTGAGTTAATCACCTGGCAGGGGCAGCCAGCTTACAGCTCGAGCCATGTGGACCAGAGCAAACAGTCTCCCTGGAGATCTGATGCCCAGTCAATGGTTTTTAAACTTTATTGACTGAGATCCACAGTAAGAAATGTATTTTTACATTAAGATCAACTTCACACACACAGAGACAGAAACAAAAATGAAACTACAGTTAATCCTGTTACTTACCAAGTGCTCTATCTTTTTAATGTTTCATGAAAAACAAAACAAAAAAAACCTATGTTCATTTAGGACCCAAAGTCTGAAAAACATTTAGCTATTATCATGTGTCCACTTCAAATGTGGCTTCGCAGGGTTCCCTTCCTACCACCTGTCTTGGCCTTGCAGGCAATGAAGAAAATCTGGTTTGTCAGAGTACACCCCTTACAGGGCACGTGACTTAGTGAGACATTTTCCTAAACTCTGTGTAACTAAGGGAGAAAACAACCCAGCCCAAGGGAAAGAAATGAAGGCGGCCATACCTGAAAATGTATCTCAAGTTGATTATGAAGATGTACATGATTATAGGATTACAGGAAATTGGCAATCCTGATGCAAGGATCATCACTCCAGGTTACATATGTTGGCACAATCTCATTGTCTTTAACTCTCTCAACAACTCCTGGGGTTCAGAGAAATACAGTAAGTTACTCAAAGTCATATAGCTCTTAAGTAAAAGAGCATGAATTGAAACTTAGAGCCTGCCTCTAAGGCAGCAGTTCTCAACTGTATTAAAGAGCCGCAGCATTAGGAAGGTTGAGAATCACTGCTCTGAGGCCTCAAATGGTTTACTCTAGGCCCGTGTTTTTCAACATTTTCTTTTTTTTTTTTTATCTCACAACACACTGGAACCCACAGTTAAACTTCCATGGCACACTTAAATTATGTTGATCAAGAAAGAAAAAAAAAGAGGCCAGGCATGGTGGCTCACGCCTGTAATCCTAACACTCTGGGAGGCCAAGGTGGGTGGATTGCCTGAGCTCACAAGTTGGAAACCAGCCTGAGCCAGAGCAAGACCTCATCTCTAAAAATAGTCAGGAGTTGTGGCAGGTGCTGGTAGTCCCAGCTACTCAGGAGGCCAAGGCAAGAGAATCGCTTGAGCCCAAGAGTTTGAGGTTGCTGTGAGCTATTATGCAATGGCAGTCTACTGAAAGAGAAAGTGAGACTCTGACTTAAAAAAAAAAGTATGTATTTACTGTGTTTTGAACTTCCTTTGAAAATAATTTAATGATCTTTAAAATTTTTCACGGAACACGGAAGATCCTCTCTTAGCCCAGCACGCTGGTTGAAAACTATTGCTGTGCACCTTCCTTTCTTCCTTGATGACATAAATAACAAGAATAAGCCAGAGGCTAGTTAACAGATTCTTCATAAAGGTACTTTTTCTTCTGTGGTTGATTTGCCTTGAGGAGAGGGTAGGGCTTACAGTTCTGAACAAAACACCTTGATTTAGCCTGATTGCTTCCAGCTATTTGGTTTTGAGCCTAGAGGTTTAGGTTTCCAAGTTAAGATAGTGACAGAATGATTCTGCTATCAGAAGCTAACAAATGAGGTCTTATAAAGAATGATGAATGCAGGGACTCATATAAATACACAGTGCCGGCCGGGCACTGGGGCTTCCTAGCCTCTGGAGGGCTGAAGCAGGAGGATCCCTTGAGCTCCAGAGTTTGAGACCACCCTGAGCAAGAACAAAACCAGTCTCTACCAAACACAGAAAAATTAGCCAGGTGTCATGGCCCATGAGTAGTCACAGCTACTCTTGAGGCGGAGGCAGGAGAATCACTTGAGCCCAAGTGATTGAGGTTACAGTGAGCTATGATCACACCATAGCATGCTTAGCCTGGGCTACAAAGTAAGACTCTGTCTTAAAATAAATAACCACAGTGCAGTATTGCGCTGAGAGAAACAGGGATTAAACACCAGGAACTTGTCTCAAGCAGGAAATAGATGCCTGGATAAAGGTCACTGGCAAGTTTTTTCACCTGTCTTAGAGTAGGTCCTTTGTGACTTCTTTTTCTTACCAGTGAAATCACGTCTCCCTACAGCAAACTTGCTAACATGAGAGGCAGCTTTGGCCCTTTCTGCCTCCCTAGAGAGAGCCTGAAGTCCGAGCTTTGCTTCACCCTTAGAAAGTTTACTGGGACACTGAGGACACCAAATTCACTCATATGGGAAAAAGGCGCTGAGGGTGAAGATCAGATAAAAGGCAACTACAGAAGCAAGTATTGGGTGACCCGGGAATCCTGTGCATGTGTAGATTGCGTTCATTTAATTAATTATTTGGAAGGACAAGTGAGGAGTTGTGAGTACCCTGGTAGGAAGACACGTTCTCCGCTCCCCTCTCTGGGCCCCTGTCTGCACTTGGAGCAGCTTCTCCCGTCCCTTTTGTTATTTCCTCTCACCTTAGACCCTCAGGTTCACATCACGAAGGTTTTGCCTTCAGCCTCTAGCCGTGACTGCAGAGTGTCTTTACAAGTTTTATTTTCTCCAGAGATAGTTGTAATTTCTGTGGTCAGTAGTGCTCACCTCTTACTTGAGATTTAGGTTTTGGAGTTTTCTGGGTTAACATTTCAGAGGGACAGTGTACTGGCCAGGCTGGGAGAGTGGAGAGCACAGTCCATCAGAGCCCGAGGGAAAGACTCTTGGCCCCTCCATGGCCAGTGGTGTTTACTCGTGATCACACTGAAAAGGTTCAGGGTGGAAAGTAGCATGTAGTTGTTTTCCAATTTATATTCTGTGTACTCCCTTTTTTATATTACTTAACACCCTAATCCAGTATTTATCTGGACTGAGCTTATTTTAAGATTCCAAACTGTGGCTGAGTATGGTTGACTTTAAGAGTGTTAACTCATTAACAGATCAGAATGATTCAGCCCAAGTGAGGGGAAGGAATGACCTAAAATGAACCCCTGCTTCTTAGGAGAATGAGAGGTACTGACTCAGAGAATCAGATCCCTTCGAGGAGTGAGGAGCGCTCCTTTGAGTACACAGAAGTCCTGGAGAGCCTCTGGGCCTTTGTTGTTAAGGATGACACTGGCTATCTTCCCAGTTGCTAGTGATTCTTTTCTGGTTCTACTAAACCTAAAAGATGAACAAGGTGTTAGTGAGGAGGGGTGTCTAGTCCTTCCAACACTCTATTGAGAAATTCTGGCTGGTGTGGCGGCACACCCCCCTAATCCCAGCACTTTGGGAGGCTGAGCCAGAGGATCAGTTGAATCCAGGAGTTGGAGGCCGCAGTGAGCTGTGACCATGCAAGTGCATTCCAGGCAGAGTGAGACAAACAGTCTTAAAAAAAAGGAAAGAAAGACATTCTCCCACATAGCACAACATTGAGACAGCCTACATGTCCTTTACATTGGAATGATTTAAATAAATAAGTGGTAATCTATACATCCTTTAAAATGAATGAAGTAGACTTTTATTTACCAAGATAAAAAAATTATATTTACTCAGGAAAATATGCACACTATATTCTTAGTGAAAGAGTAGGTTACACAATAGTAGGTAGACCAGAACCTTGCAAATGAACAACAAAAATTATAAATACAGTAGAACCTCCATAGTTGACCACCTTCCTACACTGACAATTTCCCTTAAGTTGACCTCACTTTCATAGACTGGACATGCAGCAGTACATATCAGTCCAGTACGCCTAGTTCCTTATGTTGACCAGTTTGTTACAGTCCCTTGAGTGGTCAACTTACAGAAGTTCTACTGTATATGATAGAAAAGTCCAGGAAAAAACATAGTGTTCACAGTGTTTTTTTAATTTGTTTGGATTATAGACAATTTTTACATTATATTTTCATCTACATTTTCTTCATTAACAATAAGTAAGTGTAACTTTTGTGATTAAAAATGATAACACTGTTTGCATTTGGGGAGAAAGTTATAGAATACAAAACTAATACTTGAGAGAGCATCATTTCAATTAGAGAATGGGTAGAAGATGTAGCACAGCTTCACAAAGAGACCAGCTGGACCCAGGCATAAAATCTGGTTACCTAAAACCAGGGAGATGTTGATGGATGGATCCTGTAAAATCAACGAACCCAGAACTGTTCCTGAATGTACAATTTCCTGCTCAGAAACACCCAGTTGTATATTATGCTGAGCAAAAGAAGTCAGGCCCACAAGGGCACATAAACACAACTGTGTGATTCCATTTACATGACATCCTAGAAAAGGCAAAACTGGCTCGGCGCCTGTGGCTCAAGTGGCTAAGGCGACAGCCACATACACCTAAGGTGGGGGGTTCAAATCCAGCCCAGCCCACCAAACGACAATGATGGCTGCAACCAAAACACAGCTGGGCATTGTGGCAGGCGCCTGTGGTCCCAGCTACTTGGGAGGCGGAGGCAGGAGACTCTCTTGAGCCCAGTAGTTGGAGGTTGCTGTGAGTTGTGATGCCACGGCACTCTACCCAGGGGGACAGCTTGAGGCTCTGTCTCAAAAAAAAAAAAAAGAAAAGGCAAAACTAATCTCCAAGAGAGGAAGCAGATCAGCAGTTGGCTGAGGAGCAAGGTAAGGAATTGACCACAAAGTATTCATAACTAGGGAAGTTTCTGGGCTGATGATCCATGTTCTGTGTCTAGGTGATGGTATATAACACGCTATACACATTTGTCAGAACTCATCACACTGTATGCTTAACATGGGACATTTTCTTGAGTCTAAGTTATCTTTCAATAAATAATAAGCTGCAAGAAGCCAGTTTTCCTTTCCATGCTAAAGAAGCCAAGGG